AGAGAGAGAGAGAGAGAGAGAGAGAGAGAGAGAGAGAGAGAGAGAGAGAGAATGAATTACTCCAGCAGTTTGACTCCAGAAAACTTGGTTATTAAACCCAAAATTCAGTTCAAGACAACTTTTGGGTACTTCCTGCATACCCAAAAATGTGCTAAGAAATTCGCATGTACTATTTTATTCAATGCTCACAAAACTTTCATGCAGAAGTTATTGATAAAAATTTATAATTGATAACATTACCAAGTCACTTTGTTAGAAAATTATGGACCTTCGGTTGAAATGCAGGCAGTTAAAAAAAAATCACACAATTACCCTGATCTGAGCATTGCACATTATATGCATGCACTGAAATGTCATTGTGTACCCCGCAAATACATAGAACTGGTATAAAAATAAATTTTCTTTTGGTGCAAAAAGAAAGATAAAAGCACCAAAACAGAAATATAATTATATACCAAATATATATATATATATCTTACATATCAAATTCTTATTTAGTGGTGATGACTTGCCTCAATGTATAACTCAATACTGTGCATTTTTGTCTCTGTGGAAACTAGGGAATAAGCAGTGATGATTTTGGTGATTATTTATCTGTTTGTTAAGAAAATGGAGTTAAGACATTTAACACATTAAAATAATTTTGACAATGTATTACCTGCTCTTGTACAGATATTCTGGTAATATCAACAAGGAAAAGATGATATTCTACTATTTTTTATTTGTGAGAATATTGAATATTGATGTGCTCATCTTCTTAAGGATTTTGTAATTTGGGACTTAAAAATTTTAAAATCAGTTTAAGTAAATGTGTTTCAGGCAAGAAAGATACTGCACACACTCAGTTCCATATACTAAATTTATTTTGTATTTGTTATGAAACATATAGTTAAACTACTATATTATATGTACCTGAGTGTCTTAGATGTCCTATTAGTACTATTAATAATGAAATTAAATTTTATTCATTGGTTTTAAACTTATTTTAAAAAATTGCTATATTAGCCTAATAGGTTTTGTTAAAAACTGTTTTAACTAGTAGATGAGCCTAAATAGAACGGTTAGTTTATTAATTTCTTCATTCAACAAGTATAGTTTTGACACTTTTTGTTTTCTGGAATCGAATGAATTTTTTTTAAAAAATGTATTTTAATTTGGTGTATATGACAGCAGAATGCATTTTGATTCATTGTACACAATTGAAGCACAACTTTACATTTCTGTGGTTGTACAYGATGTAGCATCACATCATATGTGCAGTCATACATGTACCTAGGGTAATGATATCCATCTCATCCCACCATCTTTCCTACTCCCATACCCACACTCCACCCCACCTTTGCTTTGCCTCATCAAAATTCCCTCATTTTTTCCATGTCTTTCCTATTGTGGATCAGAATCTATTTATTAGAGAGAACATACGGCCTTTGGATTTCTGGGATTGGCTTACTTACCATCAATTTACCTGCAAATGCCATAATTTAATTCTCTTTTAATGCTGAGTAACAGTTCATTGTGTGTATATAACACAGTTTCTTTATCCATTAATCTATTGAAGGGCATCTAGGTTGCTTCCACAGTTTAGCTATTGTGAATTGAGCTGCTATAAACATTGATGTGGCTGAATGCAATAGTAATGCTATAGCATGCTGATTTTAAGTCCTTTGGGTATAGACCAAGGGGTGGGACAGCTGGGTCAAATGGTGGTTCCATTCCAAGTTTTCTAAGGAATCTCCATACTGCTTTCCAGATTGGTTGCACCAATTTGCAGTTCCACCAGCAATGTATGAGTATGCCTATTCCCTCACATTATTGCTAACATTTATTGCTATCTGTATTCTTGATAACTGCCATTCTGAATGGTGTGAGATGCAATCTTAGAGTAGTTTGATTTGCATTTCTCTAATTACTAGAAATGTTGAACATTTTTTTTCATATGTTTATTGATCTAATGTATATCTTCTTCAAAAAGTATCTGTTCAGATCCTTAGCCCACTTATTGATTGGGTTGCTTGTTTTTTTTAGTGTTAAGTTTTTGAGTTTCTTTATATATCCTGGAGATTAGTGTTCTATCTGATGTACATGTGGCAAAAATTTGCTCCCAAAATTTAGATTCTCTCTTCACCTCATTGATTGTTTCTTTAGCCGAGAAGCAGCTTTTTATTGTGAGTATATCCCATTTATTAATTCTTGATTTTGTTTCTTGCTCTTTAGGAGTCTTGTTAAGTTAAATTGTTTTTAGCACTAGCAATACAACAGGCAGAAGTCTCACCTTCATGAAGCTTATTTTCTACTGTGGATACTCAGACAATGAAAGTGCATATAAATAAATGTCATATGTTAATAATGGCTGAGTACAAGTTTTAAAGCAGAATAAAGGACTGGGATTGGGAAGTGGGGTAGAGGTTTGCCTTTTTCAACATGACGAGAAGGGTGGCACCTAAGGTAAGATATTACAAAGATTTGAATGAAGTTAGAGCAAGCCMTGAAGATATTTGCAAGAAATATATTTGTGTGAAGATCACAGGTCTAAGGATGTAGGTCTGGAGCCTTAGATGTTCCAGAAACCTCCAGAAGCTCATGTGGCATAGCAGAATGAAGGGTACAGGGTGGGGGGATTTGAGACTGAGTATCTCAACAGGACAGGCCCTGGTGTGAGGATGATGAGATGGGTCATGGCTCAAGGAACCAGGCAGGCCCTTTGGAAAGCTTTATGACTGGAGGGATGATGATGGTGGAGCTCCACCTGTGTTAAGCMACATGGTTCTGGCCACCGTGTGAAAGCAGGTTTTGTGTTGGGGATGCAGAGAGGCAAGTGCGAGTATGCAAGATAATTTTAGGGAGTATTATGCTAATTTCCAAGGGAACATCTATAAAAACTCAGTTTATATATTCATATTAATATATTCATATTAATTATTTTTCTTTCACTAGTTCTTGCMAGTAGCCTCAGTCCGTATCGGGAAGGAAGGTTTATAGAGAGGCGACTCCGGTCCTCATCAGAAGGAACTGCAGGGAGTAGCAGAATGATTTTGAAACCAAAAGATGGAAATGTGGAAGAAGTAAATAGCTTAAGGAAGCAAAGAACGAGTTCCTCATCCTCAAAAATGAACAGTATGGTAAGTATATACACATGGATGCAAATAATAAAATACTGCTTTATATATCTGTCTTCAGGTTTTTGCTTCTTGCAAGAAAAATACACTGGCTGAAGGGTAGATATATATATTATTTGAAGGGAAAGTTGATCTCTATAGTTGATGTCACAAATCAGAGTCATTTCTCACTTGAGATTCCTACGGGGCAGAACAGATAGGTGCATACCATGACAGATCCCCTTGAGTTCTTGTCTTCTGTGCCTCCATGGGAAGTTTGCAGTTCTTCATTTTAGAACAAGACCCAAGGATACACAAGGTAAAAAAACACTGATTGTGAGGATAGCCTCATTTCTTGCTATAAAATGTAGTTTCATAAAACACACTTGCACTCATACCACCTTTAAGCCATTTAGTCATCTCTCCTGTAGTGTAGCCAGGGTGCATTACATGGGGTGCCAACTGTGGGGGCCAATCCAACATGCCTATCTGAAGTTCGAACACACTGCAGATAACTGAGACACCAGATTCCTGGTCCAAGCTATAGAGCCTGCCTTTTGGAATTCGTTTCACTTGTTTTCTTGCAAATGTGTCCTTTTTCAGCAGTGCATTTTACTCCTGTTGTTTAACAGCATTTCTTTAAAATTATTTACCTACCTACCTACCTGTTTACCCCGACCTACCCATCCATAGATATTTGTTGAAAAATGCTAATAAATAAATCACTTATAATATCTCTTATACCTTAGATAATATAGTTTCAAATGAAAATTCTAGGTCAGTTATACATGATCACTGTATTATGCAGAAGCCTTCAGTTAGTACAATTACCTTGAGTTTTAGCAAAACCATTGTGCTTGAAATTGGAAGTTATAGCTATTATTTGGGCTTCACTATTTCTTAATATTGGTCAAACAAGGAACTAATGAACAGCCAAGGATACTGGGCTTTCTGGTTACATTGTACGAAAAAATTATAATGGGTTTACATTTGAACATATGTAAAGATAGTAAATTTTTTTTCTTTTGTACATTGAAAGTGTTATATCCTTATTGTTGTAGTTGATTTTTTTAAGGTATGAGAATATGTTTTAAAAAGATTTTCATTTGATGAAACCCAAGAAGTTAGAGGTAATTTGGAATTATTAAACATTTTTTTTTCCTCAGATAATTTACATTATTTCTTTATATAGAAGTATTTATATTGTTATGTACAGTATAAACTCCTCTTGCTCAAAGTTGAAACTTTTATGTATTCTAATATATCAGATGTTTTTCTTACACCATGTGATTTAAATAATTGCCTTTGTAAAAGCACAGAATCACACTTCTCAATTCCACTTCCGAGATTTACAACTGAAAATGTCAAAAAACATAGAAAGTGATTTTGTTCTTTTGTTTGAACCCTTGCTTAAATTTTTCAAAAAGTGTTCCTGCAGAGTTACAATCATTCCACTAGATGGCAGTATTACACCATTGCCATGTGGTTGACTAGAAACCTGGTGAAGGTATTGAACCTGTTCTCTCAGTTTATGGTTTGTACTAATTGAAATAAATACTGACACTTTTGAACCTTAAAATACTTAATGATTTCACTGTTTCCCTTTGTATTTTTCCATATACATTTCATTCATAAGTTCTCTTATTATTCAATAGTTAATTTATAATGTACAAAATATATTATTTTAGCAATGCAAGGAGAAATGCTAGGATGCTTTAGGTAATTCTAAATCTGTGTTAAACAAGTTTGACAAGTATGTAGGAAATCATAGCTTTATATGTGAAAAGTGACACATTTTCTATATTCCTCTTCCAAAATAGCTCAAGCAACTGTRCATACTTGAGAATAAATGTGTGGTTTAGTTATTATTTCCTTTTAAAGAAATAATAACAGGTGTTTTTAATGTTTATTAGTGTCAAGGGACACTTAAATGCTTTGAACATTCAGTCCTCATAGAAATACTATGGACTAAGTCGTACTGTTTTAATCAAGTTTTGCAAAAGTGGAAAGATAAGACACTATGAAGATAAATAACTTTCYCAAAATCATATAGATAGTAAATGCCAGAGATCGGATATGGATTTGGATCCTGGCTTTTTAAGTTTAAAACCTACAGGCTTTGGGGAGACTGTTTTAGCTTTAAAATTAATTTGAAGCACTTTTCAGTTTTGTTCTGTTAATTCTGTTGAATTAACAGAACATTAAATTAACATGTTTATTTCCCAGCAGCACCCTCCCCCCAAAAAGAAAAGAAATTAACATGTTTAAGGCAACCTATGCTTGGTGTCAGTCTATACTCTAACCCTCTATAACAGATAGAAAAAAAAACGGAAAAATTAATACTTATTTTGAACTTGAAATACACTAGTATTTTTTGATATAGTGATGAGTGCATCAGTGTCTCTACTGAAAGATATAAYATCAAAACTGGATATGCATACCAAGGTGGAACTTCAGTCCTTTGTACAGTACATGGGATGTTAAATATGAGTCTGTTAAGATGCCAAGGTGTTCCTGCATGGCAGAAGATACACGCTAATGGTTTAGATACATGAAAATTCTACTGTTTTTGTACTCTTGTGGGATATTGCAATCTAGAAGAGAAAGGGCACATTGTATTAATTTATAGAATGTCAGTGGCCCAGAAACAGTTGGAATTTGCTTAATTTTTTTTTTACAGGGAAGATATATCTAAAACTATTTAATAGAAATTCACATTTATTTATTTTTTTTTTCAAAGAAACCACTATAGAGACTTTTCTTTATTTTTCTCTAAGGAGAAACTTTCTCAATACTTTCCATAGGATTGTCTAAAAAAAGCTCAAAGAGCTTTTCTAGAAATAGGGTCTTCTTCTTTTCTTCTCTCTCTCTCTCTCTCTCTCTCTCTCTCTCTCTCTCTCTCTCTTTCTTTCTTTCTTTTTTACAAGCTTTCCCTTTGAACTCTGATTTATAAATGAATAAGCATAAGGTTTTGTTATGGTTTCACCAATTGCATTACACAGTGAATTCTCACTCTGGATATTTGCAGGATCACCCTGTCCTGATTTTAAAAAAAATAAATAATAATGTGAGGGTGAATTCATAAATAATGAGCAATACAAAGGAACTGACATTCAAGGCAGGAAAGTGCCTGGATTGTGATAAACTAGGTTAAATGATAAAAAATAAGCTTCAAGTCTTAGTGACTTTATAATATGCATTTATTTCTCACTCAAGTTATGTGTTCATCGTGAAAGGTGCCAGGGGTTCTATTGTGTCTCTTTGCTCTGTTTTCAGAGTAGCTGTCAAAGCAGCTACTATTGTTAGCCTTGCCTTTTACCATGGTAAAATATAAAAAGAGACTCTGGAGGTCCTGATAATAAAATGCTCTGACCTATGAGAGTCACTTCATTTCTGCTCACAACTCATTGGTCAGATCTCATCAGGTGTCCCAAATTAGACACAAAAGAGGACATGCAATCTCTCCTTGTGTCTGGAAGATATAGACTTGATTTGTGTTTGGTGAGCACCAATGACTATCATTTCAAATATTTGTTTTGTATCTCCATTTTTTAATTAAGTGATATTTCCTGCAGGACTCTTCCTTACCTGTTGTCCAGTCATTGAATGYCTCACACTGGGTTAGTCATTTGTTGTTGAAAAAGATGAAATCACATCTGAAACTGAAGGATTAATGTATAAGGATGAGTTTTGTTCTTTGGGATGTGCTCTCTTCCCTTCTTACTGTCCTTGAGATGTATACTTTAAATGGACTAAATTTACATTTTTATTTGACTCAAGGAGTCTTACTGTATTTGGAAGTATTTTATTACATTACAAATTTGGTTTGGAAAGTTGATTATCTTTAGTTCACTCAGCAAATGCATTCATAGTGTTGCTCTGAACTGTTGTGCTAAGTGATCCTGACAGCAGTCATTTATGGCCAGTTTTGCTCTGACGCAGCATAATTTCCTCTCATTTGYAGTTGGGCATCCTGCTGCCTTTGTGTAGAAACTGTGAATGGCACAGTAAAAACATCAGTCTTAGGAATGCCTTGGTGGAAGTCAGGACCAGATTTATGTTTGATTTTAAAACAAGAAAAAGTAGTAACATACATATATTTATTTTCTCATGAATATTTTAATGCTTTGGTATGTTGAACTCTAGATAATCACTGTTAATAGTCGAACAATCTAAGACTAATTAATCAAGCACTATTTAGGAGACTCAAGCAATTTATTATGCATATGCTTTTTTTCTGGGCCCTGTGTTTTGTTTTTTGTTTTTTTCACCTATTAGCTTATCCTTGGTACATTATTATCAGTTCATTCATGAATTCAGAGTTTCTTTAATAAATACTGATTGAGAACTTATTCTGATGATACAAAGAAGAGTCACTTGAGGATTTTAGAGTCCTGAGATAAGGAGAAAATAATGTTGACCATGATCTTGTCAATACAACAAATTTAACCATTTTGATACAGTAAAGAGAAAGACACAGAATKAATCTCAATATTAGTATTCCAAATAGCAGTTGAAAAAGACTCCATCTCTACAACCTGCCTGGCAAAAGAATTCCAATGGCCTCATTTGGGATATGCACCATCACATTTCCATTCTGTGGGATGAAAGTTGTTCATTAAGAGCAAAATAAAGATGATGATTATACCTGACTCAAGATATGCCTCCCCTGAATCCTTAAGTCCTTAATGAGAATTTGCAATAAGTAATAATGCTAATGGATGTTGGGGTGTTAAAATAATAATTGTAGCTTTTGGTGTAACTCATTATCAGTGGGATTAAAGACAATGTAATTGCACATGTCAGACATGTTTAATGAGCAAAGGAAGTCAGTAATATTTTTAGGGAAATGGAGTTATACAAATCATCCTCCTCAATCCTTATAAATGTGAAGAAGGGAAATCACAAGTATCACTCCTTAAGTGTGAAATTACATTTGTTGATAACTGGCATATTAATTTTAGGTTAATAGCCCTAATCCACAATGGCTTCACTGATTTAGTTACTGATGGCATTTTCCTCTC